AATAAATACTCCGTGCAAGTTACCCACACAGTAGGTCTAACTCTAGAAACCTATGTCAAACCCATAATATTTCTGTCTGCATCATTAACATCAAGTTACCAAAAGTTCGACAATTTGGACTCCTAGGCTCCTAGCTAGACCTACCTTAACTCAGGTTACGTTCTCAATTACTAAAAATTAAGTTGATACAAATATTTATTATTTTACATAGATGCTCTAAGAACTTTTATGAAAATGAATGCCCTTAATTGCATACTCAAATATTATATTTGTTCAATTCATCATCCCAACCAACAAACACGATATGATAAATCTAGTTCCGAAAGGAATGAGTGAGTGGGTGGAGCATATATAAAAGGTTACGAGTTCAATTCTTGTCAACACTCATAGTGATACACTACTAAATAATGATCACATCTCTATCAAAGAGTTGAACTTTTTGAGGAAAATATAAGAATATCATTAATAATCAACCAACGCAGAAATACAGGTTGGTGGTACAGAGAACCACGAACCTAAGGTATACATAGAACCAGACGCCCTTGCAAATACATGAGCAACTTGATTCGCTGACCTATTGACATGGCGAACAGACACTTTCTTAATGTCCATAGCAATAAAACGACATTGCTTAATAACAAGACTAACATAAGAAAAGTCTGAAAAGCAAGAATTAAAAACAGAACAGAAATTAAGACAATCGAACTCAATAATAATATCATGAAAGAGTTGAACTTAAAACTTTATAGATCTGTAATTATCAAGCAAACTGTGTAAGGATTGCCCCACAACATCATTAATCTTGGCTTTGAATGTTCTTGACGTTGTGAATAAGCCAATCACTTCCACTAATGATTTCCTGCTAATAATCGCTTTGATTTCCTCGTACCAAGGAAGTTTTTTAATTACTAAATTAAATATTTCAATATTTAATCATTTTTATTGAAAGACAATATTTAATCAGCGGCCGACATGGGATTAATTATATTAAATTTAAATACCAATAGTTAACTCTTTTTTAGGGTTTGATTTGTAGTAATGACCAGAAAATTTTGAACTCCTAGGAGTTGACAAACCATAATTCTCCTACACACTGCTTTTCCAAATTCCATTTCTAAAAATGCGGCCAACCACAATTTTCTAAGTTCCTAATAAAATACTACCAATTTTACACATGTTTGAAACTACGAAACATAGAGATTATTATGAGAATTATAATTTCATTATTTCATCCCTTTAAGGATATATATTTTGCCACAAAAGAGATAGTTAAGTGAGTAAAACATTATTTTTATATTAGAACGTTATACGTTTGATTTTGCCAACATCATATCAGTATGTTCATAACTACTTTCTCAACTTACTGAAGCACAAAGAGTCAATACCATCCCGAATTGAACCTATGACCTTCCATTTGAGAGAGTCACTTCGTGCCACAAGGTCATCAGTTGAGCCCCTAATTACATAGAGTCATTAAATAAAATAAATTCATTGTTATGTTAGGGTCGGAGGCGAACATTATGAAGTAAAAATAGGGGAAGAATAATTAGTATTATTCATATCTAACTTAAATCGGGGTACAACCACATCACAAGTACACTTATCATATTTTTGTTATACTTTTATTTATTAAAGTGTTACTAAATAATTAAAATTTGAGTTGATGTATCAATAATGGTATCATTAAATAATTGATGAAGGACATAGTAACATAATATCCCGACCATATATAATTTATTTAATTTCTTATTATTAATGTGGAATTTGAAAGATAGTAAGGATTATTGCAAATAATATGCATTTTTTTTTTAAAGGAGTGGTCAAGTGGGTAGAGTACTATATATTCTCGTATTATGTACGAGTTCAATTCTTATCAACACTCTTTTGATCGAGTCTAGCCATCACACATGCTCTTCCTAGTGCAATTATCTCTCATGTGTGATTTATAAATGCAGAAGCATAGTTTATCCCCGACCCAATGACCTTATAAAGGAGCAAGGTTACCCGGAACCACCTCGGATAGTAACTACAGAAATCAAGTTTATTATTACATATTATATATCATCAGAATATAAACAATATGAGGTGTAACTCATAAGAGAAAATATTATTTTTCAAAAAGAAAATATAGAGAGAATGTTGGAGAGTGATGAGGAAGTACGGTAAGTATGTGCATGCCATCTATTGGTTTTATGATTTTTGGGCAGTCAACGGCAGGCCAATACTACCGTTAGAATAACGAGAATATAGGAAAAATATAGAGAAAATATAGAAACTTTGTATTGATGAGTATTGCTGCTGAATTGTGACAGTTCCCCCTTCTTCTGGAGATGGAGGGTCTATTTATACATATTTTAGACCTAGGGCCTTACCGGGAATAAAAATTCTAGTCTGCTTTATTGGGAGTCTTAGTTATACAATGAGACCTAATTTTATTATACTAGAGATAATAAGTCCAATTCTAATTATATTGGGAATAACAGTCCCGACCCAATCCTTGACAAACTCTTTGATTACTCCATATCGTCTATCCTTCTTGGACTTCCTTGATCCAGTCGCTTTTTTGGACTGGTCCGTATGGCCCAGGCCTACTGTGCTATCCATATATTACCATCAATGTTGAGAGGTAGTCTAATGATGTAAAAATCAGGGTTGCAAAAATCCCGCCTAGGCACCACTCGGTGCCTAGGCGCTAGGCGCCACTAGGCCGTGGAGATTTCCCTCCTAGGCTCCCGCCTAGGAGATCGGCCGCCTAGCGCCTAACTCGGCCGATTACGCCGAGTTAACTCATCAATTTCTGTCGAGTTAGCCGAGTTAACCCGGTCGACTCGACCTTTCTAATTTTTTTCATTTATATGACATACACACACACACACACACACACACACACACACACACACACACACATATATATATATATATATATATATATATATATATATATATATATATATATATATATATATATGTGTGTGTGTGTGTGTGTGTGTGTGTGTGTGTGTAATATGAGATATATGCACCTACACACGTGCACTGTTTTTCATTTTTTCAGTTAGCCGCCTAGGCGACCGCCTAGGCCGTCTAGGCGCTAGGCGCTACTCTACCGCCCGACTAGCGCCTAGCGCCTATTGCAAATGGTAAAAATATCTTAAAATGGTCAAACAATCCATATATTGTAAGCATATATGCTTTAATAATTAATCATCACAACAAAAAACCAGGTTCTAAACCATGGATGGGGGAATCCAAAACCGCTTAACTGTCCCTATATCCAACGTTAGTTAGTTGGTTTCTCCGATCAAACATGGAACGTACAATACGGCAGCGCAGCAGCCTTCTAGATTAGGCAACATTAGAGGTGGGAAAATATGGCAGTGCCCGCCAAGATAGATATTTTTAGCATGTCAACCCGGCCTTCCAAAAATGGGCCAAATTCATGAATTGATCGACGAATGTAATCTTTTACCCAACGTGTGAAACACAAATAGTAAAAAAAGCTGTGGAAAATGGAGAAATACTTTGGCTGCGCCCTTCACTGTTAGCGGATCGGACAAATTTTACTGCTTCAAATGGGCACACGCTTCATAAGCGGGTTGGACCCGTTTACCCCACACTCAGCCTGCAGTTCACTCCGTTAGTTCGCTCTATTATCCGGACCCGCATTTATTTCTCAATCATTTTTCGATCTCAAAAGTTTTGTTGGGCTGAGGTCTAAAGGATACGGTGAAGTTCGGTATTCTACTATTCAAATTTAACATTGACTATAACATAAGTACGTATAAAGAAATAAAGTTGTGCATTTGTTACTTGATATATAGCTTTTGCCTTAGCGATAAGCTTGATCTTACAATTTGTATTAGAATAAACTACGGGTTTAAAAACATGTTATACACTTATACGACTAGGGCTTATATATAGGTACCTAAGTTGAATAATTATTTGCATATATGCTTGGGGATATGATCAAATGAGAACACGATCATCCTTTAAAAAGTGATGATTGATCTCAACCATCCATCAAAAGTTGAAAATTTTAGTAAAAAAATACTGAGTCAATTTTATAATTATTGAAAAATTTAAAGATTGGGTTTATTTTATAATTTTCACACATAAAGTTTAGTAATAATAAGACCATAGCTTTTAATTTTTTTAAAATGGAAGGTGTGGATGTATCCACACTTTCTACCGGTAGAGCTCTAAAGAGAGATCGAATTTGTTGCTTATGGACTCTCCCCCTCTCCCTCTCTTTTTTCTAAGTTCAATTTTAAAATTATCTATTTTTGTTCAAACCATTTAAATTCTTCATTTAATTTATGAAAAAGTCCACAATCGCTACTCGAAGGTACAGTCTATTATATTCCTTATTAAACCAGTCTAAGTTGTTCATAACTAACCGATTCAATAGAAACTTGAAACTTTGTGGTTTCCAAATCAACTACCTGACTAATTCGACTGAGTTTCCCCGCCACCAAATTTAAATTCTTCATATTGTTGCAATTAAAAACACACCACCAACTCCCTTGTGAACACACTTAATGATCAATTGTATGGCATCCAATTTTCCATAGGAATAAACTAATTTAATTTAAAGTGCATGATAAGTTATAAATTTGGAGATATAGTTAACTTTATGCAATAATAATAAGTTATCTTTTGGGGCTGGCATAATGCATTTCTCAAGAATTTGATTTGAGAGTGACTAGAATGAAAAAGTGGCAACTTTATAAAAGGGGAATGGAAAAACTAGAAACCGTAGTACAGATTGTCACCACTATACAAAACGGAAAATTAAACCGTATAAGGTTGTCACCCTACGCGGTTAATTAGTTGGAAATACAGTTTAGAATTCCCATCAACCCAAACCCCTACTTCTTTTATCTCTATAAATACACATCCAAACAAACGCCATTTTCATGTCTCCAGTTTTCTTCAATTCCAACAACCCATATATAACCTAACTGTCTCATATACATTCTCAAAACCTAAGAAAGCAGTTAGTTATGGAGGATATGCCGGTGGGTTTTAGGTTTTATCCGACAGAAGAAGAGCTCGTGTCGTTTTACCTGGGAAACAAGCTCCGAGGAGAACGACCGGATATTGACCTTGTTATCCCTGTCGTCAACATTTATCTGCACAGACCATGGGACCTCCCACGTAAGTAGATATATATGCATACATATATGTGTCACTGGAAATTATGGAATTTCCGACCACCAAGTCGAAAGCAAAAATTGGTCGGAAATAACAACAAAGGTTTTTCCGGATATCAAAAGTGGTCGGAACAAGGCTTTCGACTTAACTTTCATCAGGTGGTCGAAAATTCCATAATTTCCAGCATTGTATGTGGGTATATATATATGCGTTTTCTTGAAATTATTATATATATGCATTTGCCTGAAGTATTGATTGTATGTTTGGGTTGAACGTTGTATGATCAGAGCTCGCCGGAGTGGCTAGCTATGGAGACGACGAGCAGTGGTTTTACTTCATGCCGGGGCCGGAAAACATGGCCCGAGGAGGAAAACCGAACAGGCTGACAACAGAAGGATACTGGAAAGCCACCGGAACTCCCCTTCTTGTGTTCTCCTTAAACAATCATCGAGTTATTGGGGAGAAAAGGACCATGGTGTTTTACACCGGAAGAGCTCCAAATGGAACAAAGACTGAATGGAAGATTAATGAGTACAAGGCTGTCCATGGTGAAGCTTCAGCATCCGCTCCCCTTTCAGATTTAGAGGTGCGGATAGTATGGGTTTAAACTATTTTAATAATTAGAGGTTAAAGTTTGGCTCTCAATTGGAGGGACCTATTGATCTTTGATGTAGTAAATAGAGAGATTTTAACTAAACTGTAAGGTAGGACCCGGTTTTGGTCCTTTTACCATCTGCTTGTTGGTTTAAGTCTTTAAGCTCGGAATACGTGACACAGAGGATCAGAGGATCACGAGCTAAAGCTAAGTGTCTAGAAAATGCCAAAAGTCCCCCTTTCTCTGCATTAGGGAGGGTAAGGGAACAACTACCGATCTCTTGGCATGCATGGCAGGTGGGGCGCATGCTGAGGGCGAAGTTGGTGGTCCAGGTTGATCCGTCCACGTGTTCGCAAATTCCTGATGCTATAGGGTTTTGCTATCCTTAAATTCGGCTAGTAAGGCTGGGCCCAAGGCCCTAAGTATCAAAGGTCGGGTGCTTGGTCTCGACCTAATGTAATCGGGGCAAAGCAATTGGTACTGATCTCCAGTCGGTCATCGATACCACCCCTAGCCTAGGACCCAGGTTGGGAAAGTATGCGAATGCGTCAGTGTTGATCGAATCGGGCTCTACTCGATCAAGTATGGGACCCGATACTACTAGAAATTATGAAATTTTCGACCACTTGAAAGTAATCTTAAATCAAGTCGAAAGCCTTATTCCGACCACTTTTAGCTTTCAATTTGATTTAAGATTACTTTCAGGTGGTCGAAAATGCAATAATTTTCAGTAGTATACGATCAAGTGTAGACTACACTCCAATCGAGAATAATCCCTATCAACCTTCTTATTTGAACTGATCAGTTATAGACACTCAGACTAGCTAGTTTATCTCATTATAGTCCTTTACCAGCTAGAGGAACAAGACGAGATTTAGTCAATCTTGTCCATGGCTATGAATCTCCCTTTTCACAAAATAGAAATTATAACTAGGGTTTTATTTGGTGCCATTAATGCAGCTACGCCAAGAATTCAGCCTGTGCCGCCTCTACAAGAAGCCTAAGTGCGACCGAGCATTTGATCGCCGGCCGTTGGGCGGTGTTACTGCAGTTCGGCGAAGAATAGCACACCAGCCGCCGCAAGATAGCGTTCAAACGGCAGCAATGACATTACCGCAGATGGATAATAATCCTCCTGCAAATGAGATGATCGGTGCCGGGAATAGCTCGCCGGCGGGAGACGCCGTTATTCCTTCTAATAATGCCATGGGGACCCAAGTATTTTGGGATAACTTTACACCTATATGGGATTGGGAAGACTGCTTCAATCTTCTTTGAGACTTGGTCTATTACCATAATTGTCCAACTATAGTAATTTTACCATTTAAGTTTTAATTTTATCCGGCCAGTCATATTTTTCACTATCAAATTTGTACTTATTTTAGTGATCTGAAGGGTTAAAAAATATGCTGGAATTGAGATGAAACAATGCCTTCAGAAAACAAAAATAGATACAAATTTGATAGTCAAAAATATTATTGAATGGAATCAAAAATCAAGAACTAAAGTGTTGAAATCACTATACTAGAGAACCTTAAATACAAAAATATGAGTATAGTTTTAGTCTATTTCTTGTTGACTTGACAATCGAATAACTGATAACTTCATGCCATTTTGAAGGATTGAAGTTTAGGTCAGTAGATCGAGTAAAATGGCTGGAAAACAACTATGTTATTAAGAATTTCAATGTTTTAAAATAAATTTAAGGTATCTCTGTTTGTGTTGAACTGTTGATGATTCTAGAATCCTGTGATTTAATAATGCAAGATTACGTGCAACTAGTTCAGTCTGAATTGAATGCATCGGATTTCTGATCGAGTTTTCAAGTATTATGAAGATTATTTCTATGGATATATTTGATTTCTTGTTTGATAGGGAGTACTACTACTTATATATTTGATAAGGATTAATCTTATCAATTTATGCTTATATTTAACTTTTTGGGTAAAAAATTCGTAATCATTATTCTATAGTGTTGTGATGGTCTGAGTAATAGCCCTTAATTTGTACCTGAGAAGTGCTCCTAGATTGGTGTAGTGTTCTTCTTTTATGCTCTTAGGGCATTTCCAATAATTGTAGATTTTGAGAAGTTTTCACAGGTGTGACTATGAAAGAGAACATGTGAGAGATATAAAAAGGATAAATGAAAAAAAAAAACAAAAAAAATTACGCACCTAGAGGGCGTGTGGAGTACACTTTGGAGCCTTCTAGTTCACTTCATGCTACGGATGCAATAACAAGTTCATTTTGGTTGGCCTACTGCAAGCTAAAAACCATATCTCCCTGCAACACATAATTAAAATGAAAAAAGAAAACGACAACCAAACGAAATGATTTATGCCATGAGTTCAATTAAAATGAAAAGGCAACCAGTTTGGTTGCCTTCTTTGGTGAAGGAAAAGGCGACCCATCTGTTGGTTGCCTTCTCCGGCGAAGGAGAAGGGTTGCCTTCTTCGGCGAAGGAGTAGGCATGCATGTCAAACCAGTTGGCTTGCCTTCTCCTTCGCCAAAATATGATCAGAATTTTGTCGAAGGATTGCCGGAATCCTAGTGACCTATAATTATAGGTCACCAACAAATTTTTAAATTTTAATGCTCTAAAATAATATGTAATTAAGGACTTATTTGCAACCTTTACAAATTTAAGGGTCTAATAAATTCTTAAGTAATGTTCAGAGGCTTATTTAACTCATATTTCTAAAAATAAATAAATAAAGAAACAAAGAAACAAAGAAAGTATGCCTACGAGTTGAGTGATGGAGTCCCCAAATACGACAAATCCAGGTGGGAGTGCTTTTGGTTTTACACATTTATATATGTGGGAACTTTAAATTGGTCTCTTTAAAAAGTCAAAAAATAGATAATAATTAAGACCGAGTCAAATTAGTAGAGTTGATTGGGTAATATAACCATAAAATTTTAAATTTGATTTTCATGAAAATTTTTATTAACATTTTTAACTCGGACTCAATTAACTAAAGACAATTTTATTGTCTATGCGAGGTGCAGTATGTTTATAGATGTGCAATAACTAAATTACTCATTTTCTAGCTAAAACGAATGGTGCTTGGTTGACTCATTTTGTATGGTGTGAGAAACCTCCGAAGTTCTTTTATGCTCTTTTTTTAATATATAATGATCATTTACCTTTTAAATTTTTTTTAAGTAATTTATATTGATTTATCTTCTTGTAATTTGTTTTGACTAAAATTATAAAATAAATTGTACTCATAATATATCTTTAAAATAGCAAATGCAGATTTATCCGGGTTTTTTTTTTTTTTTTTTTTTTTTAAAGCATCAATTATATGTAATTATTGGCTCTCTGAGTCTCTGTGAACGTACGTAAAAATTGCGGCTATTCGTCTCATGCAACAACACAGAGACTTTCCAAACGACTTGGTCGAGACCTCTAATTAAACACTCCCACCTGGTTTTTGTCGTTTTTTGGCGACTCCACAAGTCCACCCATAGCCCAATACTTAAGTTTAATTTAGAACACGGAAATAGAGAAACACCAATCATAGTTAAAGAATGAATCAGAGTTTACAGCGCACTATGTACCTTAAAGGATGTGTATGTGTCTTATATTTTTTGTATCTTATGTTATAAAATTTTGTATTTTAAGATTATGAATTCTGTATCTAAAACAAATTAGTCATTGTCATATGCTATGAATTTCTGTGTTTTGCGTTGTGAAATTCTATGCTTATGAACACAAATTATGCACATAAATTAAATCAGATTTGAAAAATAAGTAAATATATAATACGTGTATATGTCTTGTATTATGAAATTCTGCACCTTACGAGTATAAATTCTGTATCTCGTCGTTTTGATCTAAGATCCATAATATTATGTAGACCCTAATCCACGATATAAATGTTGAGCATATATATATATATATATATGTGTGTGTGTGTGTGTGTGTGTGTGTGTGTGTGTGTATGTGTGTGAGATCCAACTACTAGTTTAGGCTTTTAGTTGAGATGGAGCACATGTTTCAATTATAAATTGTCAAAAGACACAACACAAGACGTTCACACCCACGACCAATTAAGCAAAGCAAAATCATGTATTTTGCATTATGGGTTGAAAAACCAAGCAAAATGTCTATCTCATACTCTCATAGTGATGTTTCTTCTTTAATAAAGTGTAGGCCACAAATTTGGAAATAAAGTGGCTATACTAGGACCTAGGAGCGAAATGATCGAGCTGAGATTCCACAAGTTTTTTTTGAGTACTATTTATTTTGTTACAATATTATATTCATTTATATCTATTTTCCTAATTTATTAAAGCACGGAGAGTCAATATTGTTTTCACTAGGACTTTAACCTATAACCTCACATTTAAGAGAATCACTTCATGTCACTAGATCATACATATACATGAAGTGGGATTGTCTTTATCAAAGGAAGTATCTCACAAGTTTTAAATGGCTCTATATTTGACAAATCATACTATATATTAATTCATGATGCATATTTTCCTCAACATTTTAGAAAGGTACTTTTGAAACGTGAATAAGAATAGGATGAAAATATTTCCTATTTTAGCTTAAAATTTCGATCACTTTCAACAAACTCGTTATGTATTCACACATTATATTATAACATTCAAATTCTAATAACTCGTGCCAACAAATATGTTAATACACTTACAACTTCTAAAATGTCAAAATGATCAAACGCTTATCACTATACCAAAAGTTATAATCAGTAGTGAAAGTGTAATTTTATTATATTATATTTGTGTAGCAATTAATGTCACATTTCGTTGACAATATGTTGGACTCGTCTCTCCAAGCCTCTGCCCTAACATAAAACAAACAATAATTAATTTATGAGTAACTAATGAATATAAATAGTTTTTTTAAGTTTCATAAATGTTCATGCAGTTATATTGTCATGTTAGAAAATGAACATTTGAAGGGGACAACTCCCAGTTAAATTGGTAAGACAATTAAATTGATAACCACAACATTCTAAATTTGATCCCCGTGGGAGTTGTCATTAACTTTCTTGGTTTGATCAGTCGAATAACTATGGGTAACATGTGCATTTGTCCTTTCAAAAAAATACAAGATATAGAACATGTGAGGAATGCGTACATATATATATGTGTGTGTATATATGTCAAAGTTCATCTTTTAAAGTTTCTATATATTTGAGTAATTTCATTTAAATTTTAATATTGTAAATTGTTAAGGTTACATGAATTTTATATGAAGTTAATGTGTTTAATTAAATTTTATCAACACGGAAGTAGAGAAATACAACAAAAGACGTTCACACCCACAACCAAATAAAGCAAAATCATGTATTTTTTGCATGTGATTCATGGGTTGAAAAACCAAGCAAAATGTCTTATATCTCATAGTGATGCTTCTTCTTTAATAAAGTGTAGGCAACAAATTTGGAAATAAATTAAAGTGGCTACAATAGGACCTAGGAGGAAATGAGTTTTCATAAGTTTAAGTTCTTATGCATGATTCCAATACTTTACATACATGAATGAAGTGGGATTATTTCTTAGAAGTTCTAAATGCATGCCTCAATATATTTGACCAATCAATCATGATACATCTTTTTCTTTTTCCCAACATTTTAGAAAGGTACTTTTGAAACGCACAAATTATTATGTGGATTCGGGTCCAAATGTTCATAATTTATCTTTTATAAATTCACAATTTGTAGATAATGTTAACATATATATAATTAATTACCTTGTTTTGTATTCACAAGTTCCTTTCAAATACTGCAGTGACACAATATTAACATATTAGGATTTGATGACGCAGTATTGTATTCACAAATTCCTTGTGTTTTAACTTAGAAACACAATTTATATTCTAAAAGTTCACAATTCAATACTAAAATACACAATTTATATGTTGTTTAGGACCATAAAGTAGACCCTGGTCCATGATATAATAACTCATCGAAACGTCAATAAGAAATTATGAATAGAATAAAACTATTTTCTATTTTAGTTTAAAATTTTACTTTCAACAAACTTGTATGTTATGTGTTCACACATTATATTATAACATTCAAATTCTAATGACTCGTACCAATAAATATATATGTTAAACAATTACAAATTCTAAATTGCAATTTTTTCCTTATATTTACATAACCGTAAATGCAGATGCTAGACTCGCATCTTCAAGCCTTTGCCTTATTAAATATAAAACACAAATAATTTAGTTTTCATTATTGTAAAACTAATTTAGTTTCATCTCATATATATATATATATATATATATATATATATATATATATACACTAGTAATTGTCTCGTGTGATGCACGAATTATTATTAATTTAACAAATTTACTAATTAAATTTTTGACATCCCCTGAATTAGCAAAGAAAGTAATGGTTGTGGAAACAGAAAAACGTACTTGAGTTCTTGAGCTTAGAATTAATTTGATTAAAAATGTAAGTATAATGTATAACTATACAATGTAATATTTAATATTTTTAAAAGTTTAATTATGCTATTATTATGTTGATTTTAAAATTTATTGTTACTTGTATTATTATTTAAATTTGAATTTTTTTTATAAAGGAATTTGAATTTGAAATAACTACTTTAATTATATAACTAACGTATTTAAATAAAATTTGTAAACAAAATAACAGGCGATATATATTTGTCGAAAATCTCCACAAAAAACATATTCATTTGAATTTTTTTTTTTTTTATGTAAGAACTATATTTATTTTATATCTAATTTATCCTCTTTATATATGCGGAGTCAAATTAATTATAATTGCAATTTAAATGAATATATACGCAAATTATATTAAATATAAAACTTTACCAATAAATTTGAACACAATAATTTATTTTTTCATACTTCATTATGCTTTAATATATATAGAGATAGATCGAGATAGAGCTATAATAATAAAATATAATTTATAAAATATAAATACACATAATAACTTCAGAAAAATTTTGTGGCTAGATTCTGCTTTATTGTATATATATATATATATATAGAACGATGAGTTTATCTCATCATTTCAGCGAGAATTTAGCAGAAGCAACTTTCTTTTGAATTTCAGTAAAGATTTTTGCCATGGTTAGTTGTCAGAAAATATTTCTAGCAACCATGACTATACTTTAAGTGCCGTGGTAAAAATTTTTCACTTGTGGTTAGAATTATTGATAATTTTTTTTTTAAAATGTCCAAAACTAGTTGAAATTAGAAATTCTTGTTTTCTAACCAGTTTTAGCTAATTGAAAATTTGAGTAACTCCAATATATATATAATGTCATACAATAATTAGTTTAAAATTTCACTTTCAATTCAACAAACTTGTTATGAGTTCCCACATTGTATTGTAATTCTGTTGATTCATACTAATAAATATGTTAATATATACAATTAAAACTTCTAATAAAATGTTTGGATCTGCTTGCTACTACATCAATAGTCATAGTTAGTAGTAAGAGATATAATCGCACTCAGGTGCGAATGCTTCGCCCAGGCGCGAAATAGGAATGGATTCTGTCCGTCCACGTGTCCAGATCTAATGGATGAGAAACACTGATTTTTTTTAAAAAGCGCGGTGACATTTTCGTAAATAATTGAACATCGAAGTGCAAGTAAAATGTATTACAAGTGCATGTAAAATGTATTATAGGTGCAAGTAAAAATTTACACTGAGTATCAATACTAAGTGCACCTATAGTTATAAGTAGTTGCACGTATAGTTCTAAGTAGTTGCACTAATAGTTATAAGTAGTTGCACCTGGGTGCATGAATGTTTGCGGGTGGTTTTCAGGTGTATTATTACCCGCTAAACTCAGATCAATGAATGTTAACAAGGCAAAGTTACATGCATTTATAGGTGAAAGTAGGTGCATCTATAGTTATAAGTAGTTGCACCTATAGTTATAAATAGTTGCACTTATTGTTATAAGCACACCTAGGTGCATGAATGTTTGCGGGAAGTGAATGCTAACAAGACAAAATTACATGCACTTATAGGTGAAAGTAGGTGCACTTGTAAGTGATTTTACATTATTTTTACTTGCACTTCAATGTTCAATTATTTACGAAAATGCCACCGTGTTTTCTTTAAGTTATTAGTTCTGGACACATGTCGCGCGCTGATTCGTTCGCATATTCCTTCCTGGGCACTTATTCGCACCTGAGTGCATCCATATATATATATATATATATATATATATATATATATATATATATATATATATAGGCTATTTTTCCGGTGCGAACCATTATTAACATGTGAACTTGTGGACCAATCCGGTGCGGTGATGTACTAAATCCTACGGCCCAAGATAACATTCACACACCACGACCATGCACCCCGTTACATGGGATACACCAAAGTCCAATTGTACCCAAACTTCTCCCCTCCCATTCCGTATGAATTGGAATTGCGTACAGTCTGCAACTTCCACCAAGTTCTGCGCTTCGGACATCCAAACCGTAAAACACCCGTGCGTGAACAGCAAGATGACGACAACCACCCCCTTTGCCGGCGGCGTAATAGGTACGTGAATAATTATTCTCATGCATCGCTTCCCCCTGTGTTTTCCTACCCCGTAACATCTGTCCCGTCCGGTGTCTGTGCAGAAGGCGTCTCGCCAATCCCGAACACCACACTCGAACCAGAAGTTACTATTGGTTTAACAGCGACCGGGCACCAACAATGGACCCCCACCGTGAACGCTACCATCAAGCCGACGCAGGGGCGTGTATTTAAAACACTGACCGAAGGTATCCAATGCTATATCAACTACGCTCGAATCTGCGGGTTTGATGTCCGCCAGAGTTCCGTGAAGCGCGACCGAGACGGAAAAATCTACTCACGCTATTTGGTGTGTAGCCGACAAGGGGTGAAAGGTGGTGGTAATAAACCTCCCGGTAATGAGCGGGTAATAGGTGGGGGAGAAAAGCGGGAGCGGCGCCGTCGTCTTTCTAATAGAGTTAATTGCGGAGCCAAGATCGGCTTTACAAAAAAAAAAACTGGCAGTGTGCTGCTTTACAAATATAAACCATTAGTTGGATGATAACGCATGAAATGTAGGCTGAGGTAGATGATGACATAATGCACAAGATTTCCATTTTCCTCTTATTATGTACACCCTTTGCATTACTCATAGCTTTTTGACCATTCGTTGAAGGTAGAGATTATGGCAGTGTGCTGCTTGTCTATAAAAAAAGGCATTCGAATGAATTCACACGTTGGCCCCCCCTAGAATGATACATATATATATAGAGATATGAAATATATTACTGGCAAAACCACCGTGTTTCCGAACAAAATTCTAGCAAAAAAATAATTATCACTGATGCACTACCCCCACCGTACTACTAGGCTAAGTATCCAATGTCTACCACCGACTACGAGAATTTAATCAAAAAATCCCAGACTGCAATACTAAATACCTGCTGTACACAAAAAAAGGAAAACCCCACCCAGATTGGAGGTGACCCTACTAGACAAAATGTATTTACGCCAGCCCCCCGGTATGATCACCGACGCAACTTTGCCAACCTTTTACCTTCAAACCCCGCGACGCGTGCTGCAATCTTGTTTGTATGAGTGTTTACCACACTGAGCAAGATATTATGCATGTAGCGCTTCCGTAAGTTCAGTAGTTGCATAGCATCCCCCCGCACCAGGCCACAATCCCAGCTCGCACACCCCTGCCCGGCGTATGACTCCATGTGCCGCATCGTGAAGACCCCCGACTCCGACGTTGACGTGGTATCCCTCCACGACATCTGCAACCTCTTTGGTTTCATCATTTGGAGGCGTGCACTGCGAAGTCCCTGCTGCTTAGAGTCCAGGTACGCTCCCAAGCACATGATCTGCACCACATTGAGATAAACAAAGCATTGAAAACAGTATTTACTCTTTAAAAAAAAAAAAACAGTATCTACTCTTTAAAAAAAAAATACAACTAAATAACAGCATCACAGTGCTTAATGCTAAGCATTTTGCTAATTACAGTACTCAAAAATTAGCAAGTTGTTAATTGCAGTGATTAGTTAAACTGCATCATGTTTAATTGAGGTAATTACAATTCTTTAATCACAGTGCTTAATGCTAAATATTTTGCTAATCACAGTGCTTCTTTGTCCTTTGGTTTTTACTAATTGCCATTTGCTAGGAACTAAATCAGCACACCAATAATGCTATTTTTGTCTCCTGTTTTCTGCTATGAACTTAAATGAAGTTTTACAAAAGGTAGTAGTAATTCTACTACTAGTAGTTCGTGACAACATAGTAAAAAGCACAAAGCCACATACCAGGTCCTCCGGAGCCTTCCCATACATGTCTTTGTTAGTTTTCTTCGCAGACGAACTGTCAATGATGTCAAATCGTGGATGCTTGAAATTGATAGCCATCATGTAATAGGTGCCCTTGTTGAAAATTGGAAAAACAAACTGCATTGGGATTAAAAAGGAGGATTAGTGGATTGAGGTTATGTGTTGTTGCAATTATATTGGTAACTAGGGTACATCACCAAATCCACATCGTCGATCTGCCTACGGCCCATCCTCCCCAACTCCACCTCCATGCGCCTTGCAAACCAAGCGATCCTCAAATCTTCACTGGCTGACGTTGAATCAACGGTCCCAATCTGCATATTACAAACGCTAGTCAGAAGGGCTTTGTGCTCGCAATGCAACCCACCATTCACATATTGCACAGGCATACGTTACGGTACACAGGCAAGAAATATGGTAGTATACCGTTGTGCTAGTGGGTAGAAACAGCCGAGTCACATCGCCAGTTGTGCGCACCTTCTCCCGGGCATTCATGACATAGCACCAGGCATCAACAATAGTCCTGGACAAATTCGACCCCTCCTTTAGGGTTTGGAATTGTGCCCACTTTACAGTCCACTCACCATATTGGAACAGCACCTCATCACTACGGGATCAAAACAGAAATCAAAATAACCCACAATTATAATCAACATACAACCAACCACCCCAGACACAACTACATTAATGCCACTTACCATCCACCCTGCGGGCCCCTAAATACCCACAACCACAGAACATACACGTGCGGCAGCAGAGGAAATGGGTAGCCTAACGTGGTGCTAACGTAAATCCCCGACGACCGGTCCTGCTGAACCAGTGGCACCTGCACGTGGTGCTGAGCTGCTGCCCCCGAAACTGTGCGCTCTGCCACAGTATGCGATGCACCACTCGCGATGATAGGTGCCTGCAAATGTTAGCCCAAAATTTAACCTCTACAACTGTAAAAAACAGCGCCTATATGCATCAGTATACCTGTGGAGGTGGTGCAGTGGTGACCGGCTGTTGACTCGTGTTGCTCGTCTGGTTGTGTGTCGCACAATCTTGCGTCAACCCCAAGCTAAAACTTGGCACATCGAACACACCATAAGTCCCGGATGCCTCAGGAACTGTTCGGTCTACCGCAGGATGCGATACAACAGTTGCGGTGATAGGTTCCTGCACCTGTTAGCCTACAATTTAGCCTCTATAAATTTCAAAAGCATAGCCTATTACGCATAAGTATACCTGTGGAGGTGGTGCAATGGTGGCCGGCTGTTGGGCCACATCGGACACACCAACGGCCCCGGTTGCAGCCAACTCAGCCTGGTCCAACTCTCTCATAAAGTCTGCGTCATAGATTAACGGTCCTTCACCACGACAAGGCGACGGGGCGGGCTGGTGAGGAGCTGGCTCAGTTACCTTGGGTGGCAACTTTACAATATCCCCCAGCTGTTTGATTGAATCCACCACCCTCTGGAAATTGCAATCCCCCTGCACTTCATCCGGGTGCTTAGAAACCAAGTCACCAACACGTGTGGTCAACGAACGCAACTCAGCACTGATCACTGCGATCTCCTGCTTAAACCCCTACACAACACCGAAATGTTAACATACAGATTCCAAAAAAAAAAGATTGTTTGAAAAATACAGCTCCACCGAAGAGCATACCACGTTCTCAGCGTGACCATGCAACGATGCACTGGACTGGAATGCAAACAAAGAAACATCAATCAGACCCCTTCCAAAACCCCCAGAGTCAAGCTCATTCTGCACGCGTGCCTTGATGAAATCCGTGGTCCATCCCCCCACCACCGGGATTGCCCTTGGGACCTCCCGCACCCCCACCACGACCCTGTCTAAATACAAGAGCTGTAATAGAGACAAACACAACATTGTTAGCTAAGATAAAACACGCAAATGATATGGAGCCAAAACGAATATTAACTTACAGCTAGGAATAGGAGTGGGCCAGTGAATATGCGAGAGGACGCCTCAGTCCAACTTTGATGGGTAGTAACCAACGAGCGAAGCAAGTACCCACACCAGTCGAGGTCCTGAATCGTATCCACACTACTCAAGACGTGAACAGTTTTTTGGTTCGCATATCCATTTGGTGTGCTCGCAACAAGGAGGGTCATCACCACAACACTAAAATGAATTTTGAACCACGAACCACCATCGATCAATTCCCGCATCAGCGCACATAACGCCTTAACTGTAACCCTCCCCCTATGTTGCTTCACCGCGTCCCGCCAGTCCCGCAACTCTTTGCTAACCACCTGGCTATCCCGTTCAGCAATAGGTATTGGCCCACGCGGTAGGCCAAACACGGCGGAGACATCCTCCTTAGTGACGGGAATGTACCGGCCATTCCCCAAGTCAATCCGCATCTCACTCGGGTCAAAATTAGTGACCAGCCAATGCCCCAACCGCAACGGGACCTCAGTAATCCTAAACTCTAGCAACGCACCAAGGCCAACTGCTATAACATCCTCCCTTTGCCTCGGGGTTAGGGATGCCACAAGGTCTGCAAGGTACTTCGGCGACCCCCGTGTGTTAATCTGGCCTGCAGTTGAACGCTGCACACGCGGTGCTTCCATCTCCACATCGTCACCCAACACCAACGGCGGGGTCTGGAAAACGTCATCCTCCCCGCTTTCCCCGTCACTTAGGTAGACTGGGTGCTGGTCATTATTGCCTGTGCACAGCAATGAGAGCCCGTGAGCACCAAAAAGAGTGTATAAAATTCAACATATGAGGAATACTGTATAAGACAACACTGTATGTATCCTAGATACATTTTCCAGGGCTGAATTGCCCGTATAATAAACAGAAAATATATGCAAAACTTTGTCATAAGTGCACTTAACTACCATCCTAGAATCCTAGAACTAGCATAATTCGCCAAGTTAATTAGCACTACATATGAAAATTAACAATCACTGTACAGTAACCAAGATCTACACAAAACAAAAAGCCACCATCAAATGACAGTGCACAAATTAAAACCCATATTTACACACCAGCATACTAAATCTGACAAGAAATTTCTTGCATAGCCATGGAATAAAGGAATGCCAATTTACCATTGTTTGAGTCAATCTAGGGTCAAACGTATTCAATTAAGCTCATGACAATGTATTTAAACTACATGGAAATAAAAGCAACCTAAATTTGAAGTGCACTTGTAACAACTAAATAAACCTAAACCAAATTGAAAATAACCTATTGTTAATTTGTTATGATTCAAATTAGCTTAACTAATTTCGAAGAGCACTAATTACAACTAAAACAAACTAAATTTGGAATTTATAAGTAACTCAAATCAAAACTAAATACGAAATTTTTAACATAAGTGCACTTATGCTCAATGAATCCAGTTAAGCTCATTAGAATGTACGTAGAATGCATGAAAACCAAAACACCTAAATCTGAATTGCACTTATTAGACCTAAACTATTACTGTGTTTCAGATTACAGGGAATAATTTGAAGCAGACAAATCACAACTAAATCAACCTAAATTCGAAATTTATAACTAAATCAAAATACAACTAAATTTGAAATTCATAACATACATGCACTTAAGCTCATAGTCAAAGGGATTTAAGGAAGGGCAGTAGCTTACTAGTTTATCGAATCCCTCAACACATTAAACTAACAAGAAATAAACAGATAACCGTAAATATTAATTTTATTTTTACATTGCCTAGAAAACACATGAAAATAATAGCAACCTAAATTAGAAGTGCACTAATTACAACTAAAACAACCTACATTTTGGAATGTATAACTAACTCAAATCAAAACTAACTAAGAAATTTATAACATCAGTGTGATTCAGATTACTGGAAACAATTCAAACACACCTAAATCAACCTAAATTCGAAATTTATAACTAAATCAAAATACAACTAAATTTCGAATTTAGGTTGATTTCTGAAAAATTAAAACAGATTAGAAGGACTAACCTTTCTGCCCCAATCGCCGCGCCACCCTATTTCGTGCCGACACCCTGGCCGCTACCCCCGACGCAGCCTGGTTCGGACGGACCACGGAACTCCGGCGACGGGTCCGTCGTTTGAACGCTCGGGAGACTGCCGGAGGGGTCAAAGGCGACAATTGATGGCCACCCCTTCCACGCTTCGTCCGGCGAAAACACCCACTAGACCGGGCCATGCAAGCTGTTCAGATGAGCGCTAGACTTCCGATGAGGTTCACTAGCTCGCCGCGGGTTGGGAAGCTTTTGTCCCGATTGAGCCGAAGCGGAACAAAATCTCCAGGGTTGAGAAAGGCTCTCCGCAATTGAGTCGAAGAGCTACGGAATCGCCTCCCTGAACGTTGGAATTTTGGAATGGGTTGACAGAGATCGAAAGAGGCGGAGGTTGATAAGGGGTCTGGGCGAATGAGACGCGAATGAACTAAACCACACAGCTTCATCTACAATGGGCTCCGATCCAGTATGAACACCCCCCATATTGGGCCGTGCACCCTCGTTCGCGTCCGTTGATCATACCAAGATGAACGGAAGTCATTAGTTCACAAGTACACACTTAAACAAAAGTTCACACCTGAACAGTTCTATATATATATATATATATATATATATATATATATATATATATATATATATATATATATATATGTTTCCGTTGGCAAGAAAAACCCGCAACCTTTAAAGGTATATATGGGATAAATCTGTGACTCTAACCTTGACTAAGTTAGTTGAAATTGCGCCTGTTTTTATAACAAATATATATAACATTATTGACACTAAAATCCTACTATAAAATTATTAACACTAAACTCCGAAAGCACAAATTAAACTGATATCATGTCACTCGATTATAAAGTAATTGAAACTAACATCATAAACTTATATCATACCACTGGATTATAAAGTTAGAGATACTAACATAATGTTGTTTACCCTTATATGTTTTTATTACAATTTACTTAAACGCTTTGAAATATATAACAACATATAATTTGTTTCAAAGAAGACTGAAGCAGTCTTCCCAATCCCATATAGGTTCAAAGTTGTCCCAATGAAGTCGAGTCACCGTGGCATTATTTGAAGGGATGACGGCGGCACCCGTCGGCGAGATTCTTCCGGCACCGGTGCTCTCAGGGTCCTCCACTATTATTGCTGTTGTGTGAACGTTATCTTGCGGCGGCGGTGGCTGTGCTATTCTCCGTCGACGTATTGCAGTAAGATCCAACGGCCGACGATCAAATGCCCGATCGCACTTTGATTTCTTGTAGAGGCGGCACAAGCTGAATTCTTGGCATAGCTGCATGAATATATAGAATGTACCAAATAAGATGGCAAGAGATTTAATCTATCCACACTTGTAACTACAGCGTCACGAGTTCTAATTCTTGCCCCATTAGTTTGAATAACCTAGGATAGTACTGCTGGAAATTATAGAATTTCCGACCACCTGAAAGTGATCTTCAAGTTAAAAGTAAAAAGTGGTCGGAAATAGCAACAAAGGTTTTTTCAGATACCAAAAGTGGTCGGAACAATGCTTTCGACCTGATTTAAGATCATTTTCAGGTGATCGGAAATTCCAGAATTTCCAGTCATGGTTTAAGGATAACAACAAACACTTAATCTTAATAATAACAACAAACCTCTAAATTTGAAAGTGGAGTGGATGCAGAGGTAGCGTCTCCACGAACAGCTTTATACTCATTAATCTTCCATTCAGTTTTTGTTCCATTTGGAGCTCTTCCTGTATAAAAGACCATGGTCCTTTTCTCCCCAATAACTCGATTATTGTTTAAGGAAAACACTAGACCGGGAGATCCGGTGGCTTTCCAGTATCCTTCTGTTGTCAGCCTGTTCGGTTTTCCTCCTCGGGCCATGTTTTCCGGCCCCGCCACGAAGTAAAACCACTGCTCACACTCTCCATGCCCGCCCACCACCCCAGCTAGTTCTGATAATATCATCATGTTAATTAAAACCTAAGACAAAAGATATATAAATGCATGCATGCTGGGGGAGAAAGATTCCTCAATTTCTTTTGGGTGACAAGGGAAATTGACAGTCACTACTAAAAGTGTGCACTTAATTTAGTAAATTCTGCCATGTTACTTTAGTCGGCAAAAGATTATAATGAGGTAAATCAGATTACTAAGCTTAGATGGCTCATAGTTAACCAATTTGGACGTTTTCACTGGGAGTCAAATTTGAAACGTTGTGGTTACCAAGCTAATAGCTAGACCAACTTGACTGATTCAAATCTCTTAAGGCAAAAAGGCCATTAAGCCGCTTAGAGTAGGTTAAATTTAGGATCTTGTGATTACTAAACCAACAGTCTAATTATCTTGGCTGGGGTTGTCCCCAATTCCTCAATCTTGTTTCTTGAATTGAAACCAAAGATAAAAAAGAATAAAATTTTATGCATGATAATATGTGTTACATTTGCAATAATACTTACGTGGGAGCTCCCATGGTCTGTGCAGATAAATGTTAACGACAGGGATAACTAGGTTAATGTCGGGTCTTTCTCCTCGGAGTTTGTTCCTCAGATAAAACGAAACAAGCTCTTCTTCTGTGGGATAGAACCTAAATCCTGTCGGCAAATCCTCCATTGTTACTATGTGCAAATAGGATGGAGTTTGCAGGTATATAGCTTAGAGATATGGCAATGGTGTCTGATCTGTTTAGATATATACATACACATATATATATAGAGAGAGAAGTGATTGAGGAAACAGCGTAGGGTTTAAAGTGGAGAAGATGAAATGGTGGGGTTTGCTGGCTGCTTAGAAATTTCCATGCAACCGCGTAGAAAAGAATTATTAAATACTTTGTTGCTTCCTTGTTCTGTTGCCTTTTTCACCTTCTTGCATAGTGCAGTGTATGACAGACTGCTTTTTGGCATACAGATCAGACTGTATTTTTTTTTTTGGGGGGAAAATCTAATCTATCCGTAATATCTGCTCAATATGATTATTGCAACATCATCAATTGGGATGAGACTTCAGCTGTGACATTTTCTTTGGAATAGTAACTGTCATCAAACCACAAGGTTTTACCTTAAAAATTAAGTGATTATCCAACTCTAATTTAAAAGGGTATTTCAAAAAATTTAGGATCATCAGGAAAGTCTTAAGTCACTATTCGGAGAGTCAATTATTATTTAATGGTGTGCACGGAGTAAATTCAATTAGGAAGATAAATTGCATTAAAAATGTCTTGTGCCACAGCCTCAATCTAGAGAACATTAGTAGGAATTTAGGTCAGGTGGTCGACCACTTGAGCTAGTCATGCGAGCCATAAAGTTTATAGGGGAGGTGGAGGGGTTAATACACACACCCCATATATATGCATCATATATTTGTGGGTATAATATTTATGTTACCCCTCTTCATGATTAGATTAATTTGAAAATAACCTTCAAAAAAAAAGATTAATTTGAAAATAGATTTATAAGTCTCTATGCTTTTTTTAAATAAGAAAAATGCATATTTATTCGATCTCTTAATTATTTCATGCTAGTCATTTTAGTCCATAATTTTTTGTTATTGCAATATATATATCCCCCAACTTTATGAATAAGTTGAAGTTTTAGTTCATGAAGTAACAAAACTATAAAACTCTATTATAATTTTACTTAATGCGTATGTATTTTAATAGTTTTCTTCTTCTTTATATCCTCTTCAATTTCCATCTTTCATCTACAAAATGGTGAACTTGATTCTAACAAGTTTATATAAGATGGAAAATAAGGATGATGTATTGCAATTGAAAAGAAAAAAAAAATATAGGTAAGGAGATTGTCAATTCTCTACTTTGCATATAAAATACTAAAGTTAAATAGCTATAAATAATAAAGACTACGTGCAGAAATTAATAAAGACCGACTTTACTTGACTGTTGTATAATAGGACTTTAATTCACACTATTTTCATTTTTCAAAGCCCCACATTTGATTGATCATCATTCATCATCTTAAAGGTTACCAATCAAGTATTGTCACAATTCTTAATTTTGCTAAACCTCACATTGTATAATGTATGTACACAATCAGCCTACAATTATAGAGCAAGAAGTAGAATATTGACAAAGAAAAAATGTGTATGTGTGAGACTGATATGATACATCCATTTTGGTAGATTAGTAGTTGAATGTTACTAAAAAATATGTGAAAAATAAATGGTGTTAATAATTTACAGACTATTAAAGAATAATTTAGTCGTTGCATATTTTTAAATAATAGTTGTGATTTGTTGGTTACAAAAAAATATTTTACAACGAACTAGTCCATTTCGTCAGCATACATCAGCGAGAATGACAATAGCCATTGCTGTACTCGAAAGGACTGTTAGAAATTTCTCTTTCAATTCGTTTGCCGCAATTTTAGAATCCCAAAAGTAGTCAGAAAACTAACTTTATTTTGGGATTTAGACTTTGAATCAAACCCAAAAGAGATTTAGCTATCATAAAGTAAATAAATAAAGAATCTGTTAATGTGTCTATATTATCATAAATTATTTTATTTATAAAAGTGTCGATCGTTACTTGTTGAATTATCAACTTAGTCAGGATGCTTGTTACTGTCTTAGCACAATGCAGAGTTTATCGAGCACAAATTATGTTCATATGTACAGAATTTCATGACACAAGATACAGAAATTCATAACATAAAACACAATTACTAATTTGTTTCAGGCACAAATTCATACTTTCACCGTACAAATTTTCATAACACAAAATACATACACATGAATAATAATGATTCATAGTGTAATGTAAACATTGTTCCATAGTATAACGATTGCATGTGCAACATAATCCCAACATCGCTCATTTTTATTTATAATAAATACTTGACATCCGGTTTACTATATATTTTGTATTGTAAAATTTCCCTTAGTTACAAATATTTGTGGGTCGATTAAGAAAAGATTTTTGTTTAACATTTTCAGACACACTAGTGATATGATTGTGTTATGTGGAGAAAATCCGCTGCCGACCAGTAATTAAATATTGAAATAATTTTGACTACATTTCACAAAGGTACGAGAAAATGGAAGTGATGATTAGGCGAGTAACTAGGGACACCGTTAATTAAGATAACAGCTTCCAAACGTAAGGATTATGGTGTCGATCAATTATTATTATTTAATAAATTTCTTGAATTGATTTATAAAAGTCTAAATTATAATGGGAATCATCCTAAGTCAGACCTATTTGAGAAGCTAGAGGTGTCTCATAAGAAATCCACAATTATCATCATTTATGCACATTTATATCATTGTTATTCTCAAGAGGTTAAATCCCCAATTCCAATGGTATCCCACACCCTGGCCCGGTAGAGTATCTGGAAAGATGCGAATCATTGTAATTCAGCTGAACAAAGAGATTAAATCTTTGC